ATCCTGGTATTCTGTGGTTCTCAAACTCTATGACTCTGGGAAGCCACTTACCACATGGTACTCTGTATTATCCATATCAATGTTTGTCTCTTGTTTAGAAACAAATTATTTCAGGGAAGCTATGCCCTGTTAATGCTTGTTAACTCACTGTATAGCATGGTTCCTTGCACAAACTAAGGATTTGATCGATGATAGTTGAATGAATGAATCACTACTATTTAGTAGAGGAGGTCAGTTCTTGTCAGAGCTATCAGTTATTATGTCTTCTACTCAAAGCCAAAGTCTTACAACAAATATTGTCATTATCCTTGAACTTACCCAATCATCTCTTTTCAAGGAGTCCAGTCCCAAGCCTAGACATGAGCCCCATTGCTCTCAGGGCATCTCTACTGAACCAATCCATGCCAGATTTATATTCACTCACCTTCAGGAAAGTAAAGACCTTTTGTTCTTTTTCACCATTCACATCACCTTTCTCAAAGAGCTGGAAATTGGGAACAAAGCCACCACCTGGACGCACATACCTGTAATAAATCAGAGTGTCCCCCCAAGAGAATCTAAATTATGACAAGAATGGAGAGTAATGGCCATCACCAATTCACCACAACAGCAATTGAAAGAAAAAGAATAAGAGGTTGTGGGCAGTGAAGGTGAGAAAAGACAGGTCTCTGGGAATCAAGACTTCAGACAATAGGTTTTATGGAGCTCAGAGTATTTTGAGAAAATTTGGAGGCTATATATCTATAAAATATACTTTTATATATCATATAAATATTTTTTAGATTGGAAAATATAGTTTATTTAGAAAGTAAATTAGAGAGAGAGAAGAGAGAGGAGATTCACCTCTCCCCACATCGTTTTTTTGTGGTTAGGGGAGGGAACTAAAGGTAGGGGAGGGAACTAAAGTTTAGGAAAACATGAACTGGCCTTAGCTCAAAGATCACGTGTCCAGACCATAGTTTAGCAAGGCAATGGCAAATGGCTGGAAGGCAATATTTTGAGCTTAGTCTTCTTAATTTATTTTCATTTCCTATTTTCTTTCCCCTGTGCTTCTTTTCCATTTAATCTTCCCTTAGTCTCACCATCAAAGAATCCAAAAGTAGAGAGTATTTCCAACAGAGCTAGATTGAATTTACACTCATCATGATGATATTCTTGACAAACTATTGGTTTACCACCCACCCCCAGAAGTCTCTAGAATGGGAGGGCTTCTAGGCAGAATGAGAAATGGAAATCCTGAAAAAGCCCCTGCAGGGTCCCATGCAGGCACTCACTTGAGTCCAGGAAGGATCTCTGAGTTTGTTCCAGGTTCTTGTTTTCCAAACTGGTTGCAAGGAAAGCCCAACACAATGACATCAAAATTCTTCAGTTCCTTCTGTAGTGCATTCAGTTCTGTAAGTAGAGAGTAAATGGCATGGGTAGCCTGGTTAGAAGTCCTACCTCAAGCAATGAAAGACCACTGGATTTATCCACTGATCACTATGAAGGGAAAGATTTAAAAATGCAGAGACTGAGGACATAGAGTAAAAAAACTAGAACACATGTTTTCAGAAACTCATCCAAATGACTACTGTTTTCCTATGTAATAGGAAACCAGTTATGTTCCCATAACTTGTTACAAAATGGGAATCCTTACTTTAAACACACACACACACACACACACACACACACACACACACACACACACGGATCGGTTAGTCTTGTGTGAGAGTCCTGTTTGATTTGGAAGAGAAGTCAGACTTGAACATTATTTCCTTCCATCGTTGGTGAATTGATAGACCAAACTTTTTTTTTTTTTTGAGTTGGAGTCTCACTCTGTCATCCAGGTTGGAGTGCAGTGGCACACTCGTGGCCACTGCAGCCTCAACCTGCTGGGCTCGGGCAATCCTTCTGCCTCAGTCTTCCAACTAACTGGAAATACAGGTGTGTGCCACCATACCTGGATAATTTTTGTTTTGAGTTGGAGTCTCACTCTGTCACCCAGGCTGGAGTACAATGGAAGGTTCACAGCCACTGCAGCCTCGACCTGCTGGGCTCAGGTGATCCTTTCCCCTTAGCCTTCCAAGTAGCTGAAACCACAGGTATGTGCCACCATGCCTGGTTGATTTTTTTATTTATTATAGAGATAAGGTCTTGTCATGTTGCTCAGGCTAGTCTCGAACCCCTGAGCTCAGGTAATCCCCTTGCCTCCACCTCCCAAAGTGCTGAGATTGCAGGTGTGAGCCACCACACCCAGCTCTAATTTTCTGATTTATTGTACAGATGAGGTCTCGCCAAATTGCCCAGCCTGGTCTTGAACCCATGGACTCAGACAATTCTCTCACCTCTGCCTCTAAAGTGCTGGAATTACAGGCATGAGCCACTCTGCCTGGCTTTTTTTATTTAATTTTTTTTTTTTTTTGAGTCAGAGTCTCACTATGTTGCCCAGACTGGAGTGCAGTGGCACGCTCATAGCTACAACAGACTCATCCTGATGGGCTCAGACGATCCTTTCCGCCCCAGCCTCTGGGGTAGCTGGGACTACAGGCATGAGCTAGCATGCCCAGCTCACTTTTTGATTTATTGTAGAGATGACGTCTTGCTAAGTTGCCCAGGCTGGTCTCAAACCCCTGGGTTCAGGCAATCTTCTCCCATTGGCCTCCCAAAATGCTGGGATTACAGGTGTGAGCCACCGTGCCCAGCTGACCTGGAATTTTAAATAATTTTTTCTGGATCTACAAGAATACCAAACTCTGCCCCAATGAGTACACAAAGAACATGGAAAATCTATCTCAGTCACCATAGAAGGTTAGGCTGTTTGAAGAAATGGAGCATTTTGCTGTTATCAGTTACCCAAGACAGCCCTTACACCAATCGAAGGCTACCCTGATAAAAAAAAAAACTTAATTTTGCCCTTTGTCATTTGGAGGTGCCTACAGAACTGAAATATCAAGATTCTCTCTCCTATTACTACCAGAAGTCACCAGTGAGAAAGATAATATCAGTTCCTGAAGGCCAGGTTCTAGCCTAGGAGTTGCAGGTAGGCTTTGGCATTCTTCTCTCAGACATAAATAATTTCACAGAATATCAGTATCATACAACATGTGACCCTATGAATCAATGCAAAAACAAGATATGCCATAATTGTAGCTGAACACAGACAAAACATGAACATTGTCCAAATCATAAAAATGTCCAAGCACCACCCTCTTCCTGCCAGTATGAGTGACTGCTGCTTCTTTACCAGTTACATCTTTAGCCTTAGTTTCTCCCACCTTGAAGATATGATTTATTGAGATATCACATAACTGCCCCCATTTCTTCATTTTCTGATGGCATCCAATCCAGAGTAAAGCTTTAATTCCCCGAATCCTTTCCCAAATCACCTAACACAAGCTCAGACTCGATAATAAGTTATTTCTAACACTTCTTTACTGAGAAGCCCTATGGTTCACTACAGTATAGGTTCTCCTTAAGGGAACTGACCAAGAAACTCAGCTTGTTCAGCTACAGGGGTGTTCCTGGTGGCATTTGACTAAATCTTTGGGATTAGTTCTCAAATCTAGAGATAATTCTTCTGGCATTCTAAGGAGTGACCAGGAGCAGGATTTAGGGGAGTAGAGTCATTTGATTACTTCTCCCACCTCCCACCCCCCAGTAACACATTAGTAAAACCTTCTGGAATTAGAATATGACTATCTGGCAAAGCTAGTTTGAAGAAAGTTGAAGTACGAGTTTTTACCAGGATACTGAGCTGCCAAGCCTCAATAAGTGGCCACGTTGACAAAGAGGACATGCTTGCCAGCATACTGCTTGAACTGGATATACTCCTCGCCATTGAGGGTGAGGGCTCCATACTCATAGATGGTACCTGTCACCTCTTTGTTGCAATCCACCTGGAAGGGTACAAAAATAACTATAATGATATAAGATAAACAATAATTCCCAACACCTGCGAACTTTTTCAAAGTACTCAAAGACCCTTCATGGAATATCTTGAAATTCTAAGAATTGAAGTAAAATAATTAGTTTCAGCTGATGCCACAACTAGAATTTATATCTTCTAAGCTATCCAACTTTATAAAGACAGGACAAGTACTCTATAATATTCTTCTCATTCCTAGAAAGTTAATACAATTTATTTTCATTTCCTGACAGTGCATTCTCCCCCACATCTCAATAACCTATTCCAGACATCCCATCCTTTCTAAGATGGTCTTGATAGATTTTTTTAAGATTTATCATAATAAACAAATAAATCTTATATAAATTTCTCATCTGTATATTCTATATTGTAGTCCCTCCCCTGAAGTTTGGCCCATAACACCTCTGGATCCCAATGAAGGGCCTTCCTGGTCTTGCCAATGGGATGCTCAGTGGTACCTGCAAAACTCATCATCAATACCCACTTCTTCTCATTCCTGTATTATGGAGAAACAGCCTGGAATGTTAATGAATTAGAGGTTATAAAATAGAAAGCACAGAGAGGAAAAACCTTTTGCCCATGAGTATGCAAAAAAAAAAAAAGGCAAACGGAACTTGGAATAAAAGGCTAAGATGATATCTGTTGAGAGAGGCCAGATTTCTGATGATATGGAGAAAGTCATAGAAATTTAGGGTAATTTAGGATAGGCATAAAGGCCTGCCCCGTACAGCGAAAGAATTGCCTGTGGGTGAACTCCCATGGGGATAAAGGGCAAGAAACTCTATCATCTTCTAAGTCCTGTCACCAGGACACCAGGCAAAAGCTTCTCCTTCACTGTTCTTGAAAATAAGGAGGCTTGCCCTAAGGCAGACATTTTCTTCTTTGTGTCCATACATCTGTACACATCTCTGTGTATACCTTATCCAAATATTTGGGAACATTAGCTAAGAAACCCACTATGACAGGGCGTCATCTATGTCTCCATTCTCTTCACCTTCATTCCACCTTACTTTTGTACTAATTTCCAGCATTTGCCTGTTTTGCTATTGTAATATACAGTCAGGTGGAAATCATCCTGTGAGCTGCCATTTATGTGCCTCCATTTTCCTTACCTTCGTGCTACCTTAGTTCTAGGCTCAACAACTTCTGAAGTTTGCTTCTCACATGGATAGCACCCTGTGGATGGAGATGTACTATTCCAGGAAAATTGCAGAGTTGAAGAGCTTGGTCTTTCCTACCCAGCTTTAATTTCTGCTCCAATTTGCTTAGGTCTACTTGAAGCAGTCAGCATACCCAAGAACACAGCCTTTCAATAACAAGCCAATTTTCTTCATTAGAAATTCCATATTCAACCAGGCAGCAGTGGCTGACACAAACCTGGATGCCCCTCAGAAGCTATCCTTTCAGGTGAGCTGTGATCTTGCTACAGCTGCCGGTCTTTGAGTATTAGCATCATCTTACACTTCACCTGAACTCAATAACAGAGGTTAAACCTCAGAGCTGAGGTTTGAGGATTTGCACACGTGTCAAATGGGAGCATTTTAGAAATGCAAATTCCTGGGCTCCCCCAAGATCTACTGAATCAGAAACTCTGGAAGTGGGGCCCAGCTCTGTGTGTGTGTGTGTATATGTGTGTTTTTAATTGGAGTCTCACTGTGTCACCAAGGTTGGAGTGCCATGGCATGCTCATGGCCACCCCAACATCGACCTGCTAGGTTCAGGCGATCCTTCCACCTCAGCCTTCCAAGTAGTTGGAACTACAGGTGCACACTACCACACCCGGCTAAATTTTTTTGATTTATTGTAGAGACGAGGTCTTACCAAGTTTCTCGAACTGGTCTTGAACCTGCGGGCTCAGGCAATCCACTTGCCTCAGCCTCCCAAAGTGCTGGGATTACAGGCTGAGCCACTAAGTCCAGCATTCTGTGCTTTAACAAGTTAATCAGGTGATTTTTTTTTTCTAAGTTGTATTCTCACTCTGTCACCCGGGTTGGAGTGCAGTGGCGCACTCACAGTCACTGCAGCCTCTACCTGCTGGGCTCAGGTGATCTTTCCACCTCAGCCTTCCAAGTAGCTGAAACTACAGGTGTGCACCACAACACAGCTAATTTTTTAATTTATTGTAGAGATGAGTTCTCATCAAGTTGCCCAGCCTGGTCTCAAACCCCTGGGCTCAGGTAATCCTCTCGCCTTGGCCTTCCAAAGTTCTGGCATTATAGGTTTGAGCCACCGGGCCTAACTCCAGGTGATTCTTATGTGAGCACAAGTCTGGGATTCACTGCACTGCATGGGGGGCATTTCTCCACCTTTTATAGTGGAAAGGGTCTAACAAAAATATGCCTTACAACTACCACTAAGGCTGAGTTTTTTAAATACGTTTGCCTGATTTTAAAGTTAAAATTTGTTGGTGCATCAGGTGATCTACTCAGTCTCCATTCAACACCCTTAGACACACATCCTTTGCAGGAGTGGCTACTGATATCCAGCGTGGGGGCTTTTCTGAACAGCATCAGGAGTAGCACCAAGATCTGAGAATAAATCCTTCACTGAACTGAGCTTTGTCGTCTTCTTATCGCATCACCTTCCCTAAAACTATCATTGGTGAACAATCATTTTGGCCTTTTGTACTTTATTATTCCCTGAAAGAAAAATAACAAAAAACTCTTCCTGACCTTGAAACTCGAGTACATTCCAGCACCAGTTTCTCTCCTGTCTCCCTCTGAGTTTCAGACTGAGCAACCTCTCTAAGAGTAAAAGGAAAACTTCGTTCTCTTTTTTTGTTTTTTTTTAGAATTGAAGTCTTACTCTGTCACCCAGGCTAGAGTGCAGTGGCAGCTCACGGTCACCACAGCCTTGACCTGCTGGGCTCAGGCAACCTTCTGCCTCAGTCTTCCAAGTAGCTGGAACCACAGGCATGTGCCACCAAACCCAGTTAATTTTTTATTTATTGTAGAAATGAGGTCTTGTCATGTTGCTCAGGTTGGTCTTGAACCCCTGGGCTCAGGCAATCCTCTCGCTTCCGCCTCCCAAAGTGCTGGGATTACAGGTTTGAGCCACCGTGCCTGGCTTCCTTCTCAATCGTTTTGCAACTTTAAGCCTTGTTTGCTAGATTCACAGTGCTGGCCCAAGTTACAGACCAGCATGGAAGGGACAGCTCTGGGCTATCAAGGGTCACTGGGGGAAGTAGAAAAGAGGAACACACCAGAAGGTGGCCGTCTCTCCACCTTCTCCCTGCCCTCTCCCTCCCAACACATTGAACTCAAAGAACCACTGGGTGCAGAGAAGACACAAATAAGCTACAATTGATTTAGGAAGGAGAGCCTCTGTAGCCAAGGACAGCAGTATCAGAATTTGCAAAGAAGGTCTGGGAAGGCTGGTCTTGTCCTTTGCGAAGAAGAGAGGAGAGAACTCCTCAAAACTTTGGCGGCTAGGTTGGTCATCACGTACTGAAATCAACCTGGATCCCCTGCAGGACACTCACCTTCATATTTTGCGGCTTCAGGGTCTGCTGAGCAAAGCCGACCAGGAACAGTGGGAAAAGACTCGGGGCCCAGAACTGCCAGATCATGGTTGACACTAGGAAGTCTAGGCAAGTATGAGTGCCCAGGGATCTTGGTCCCTTTTAAGCCCCTGGAGGGACCAGTTTGAAGATGTGCCCTCCAATCGCAGAGCAGCATTCACACCCCTCCCCACCTCCTACCACCCTCCTGCCCCTGAGTGCCTCAAGACGTCAGACCACCCGTGGTCTGGAGGGAACGCGGAGGCTTTTCTCTTTGGAATCCAAAGTGCTGTCCCTACCCTCTCTAAGAGACTGGTACTTTATAGGTACTGGCTCCATAACCAGGAAGTAAAACCACTGCCACTGGATCAGAATGTGGATCTCCTCCTCCTCCTTTCCTTCTCCTCCAACAAAACGGTCCCATGTTTTATATGCAAACTGAAGTTTGAGAAGCCTTGCCTAAATTATTGTAATTATCTCTGCCCCCTATTATTCTATCATCCTGTTTTTCACCTTTCCTAAAATTATTATTGGTGAACAACAATAGGATAGCAACCAGAAAGATGCATAAAATTATTTGGATTGGTGAAGAGGGCGCAGAGCTGTTTTCTCTGGTTACCTGCCTATTTTCCTCCCATCCATTGCTTTTCACTGCCAGCTTACCTTTACCAAACTTCCCTGGTAACTGAAGTGATAAGTTCTTCCTCCTCAGTTCTAAGCCCTTTGTCATCCTGCCCAGCCTCTTCCAGGTTCATACAAAAGCTCTTCTCTGCCTCTTGGAGCTGAAGTCTGGGTGGGGTTGAATTCTTGTGATCTCTCTTGGAATATAAACTTTTTGTTATCTCAGATTTCTGAGTCCCTCTCCAAAGCCTGTAATCTGTGGCCTGAACACTGAAACCTGATCCAGTCAGGCAGGTCCTCAAGGCCCTTAGGGTAGTCAGGCAGAAGGGTTTCCTCTTACAGTACAGACCCACACACATTCCCATGCTCTTAAGCTTTCTTCTGCTTTCAGTTTTTAAAAATGGCTGAACCTTTGACTATGAGGCTATAGAGACCATTGAGCTTAATGCTTGTCTGTGCCACTGACTAGCTCCTTGACTCTGAAGAAGTTAATGTCTTTACTTCTAGTTTTCTCATCTGTGAAACCAGAGAAATCATATTGAAAGGGTCCGCTGAGGCGAGATGGACTGGTGCCAGTGCTGAGGCCACAGGAATAGCGCAAGATTGTAGAAAGAAGTAAACAAAGTAAAGTTTGGAAAAGGGACCGACACTCAGAGGCAAGTGTGGCATTGAAGGGCCAAGAAATGGGTATATTTAAGGGCATTTGGGGTAGGGGGATTTTGGCCCAGAGGAGTGTCAGGGCTGCACGTCTTTGATGTTGATTGTAGTCACATGAGTCTTAGATCTTGAGGATGCCAGACATTAGCATCTCGTGCCCTCAGGTGGTGGGCTAGATGGAAGGAGACAATGGGAGGGAGTTTTCCAGTAAGAGACTTTGTCATATATTCGCAATACACAAACTCCTTGACTAAAAGGTGGTCTATTATTTCTATGACTCTGTCCTTGTCTTGCACCTGATGGAGATTTTCTAAGGGGGTGGGGTAGGCTGCTGCTTGGCCTGCAGTGAAATGTCTGAATGCTTCCTAAAACCTGCCTATTAAAAACTTATCTATCAAGCCGGGCTCAGTGGCTCAGCCTGTAATCCCGCGCCTTTGGGAGGCTGAAGTGAGTGGATTGCATGAGCCCGTGGGTTCGAGACCCGCCTGGGCAGTGAGAACTCATCTCTACAATAAATCAAAAAATCAGCTGGACGTGGTAGTGCATGCCTGTAATTCCGGCTGCTTGGAAGGCTGAGGCGGAAGGATGGCCGGCGCCCAGCAGGTCGAGGCTGTGGTGGCCGGGAGGAGCGGCCACTGCACTCCAGTCTGGGCGACAGAGTGAGACTCCAACTCAAAAAAAAAAAAAAAAAATTATCTATCTATGTCTATCTAACCTGTGCTAGATTCAAAGTGTGTCGGGGGTAAAGTCTAAGCAAAAATGGCTATGCTGAGGCAAAAAGCCTACACTAAACTAAGTTTATTCTAGGTTTCTATAGGTACCTCCTTTTAAATATTATCTCCTTTTCAGGGCTATTAAATGTGATAATAACTATAATGCATTTACTCCATGCCTGATACAGATAAGCAACTAGAAGTGTATTCACACAGCTTTATGTGTGAGGAAACTGAAGCTCAGAGAGAGAGATAACATTTCAAAAGTTATGAAGTTTGTAGTAGAGAAATGAAGGCAAACTCCTGAATCCTACTCCAGAGCTTTTGCTCTGGATCCATATGGATCATAATTGTTGTCACTAAAGTTTTACTGTCTGAGACAATTTATAATACCCCAAGGATACAGAAGGACAACTTGTATTAGAAATGGAAAGGAGACATCACTTCAGTTGTACTGACAGTGAGAAGTTGAGAGCACATTATGAACAATTTAATGCTGATAAATGTGTAAGTTTAAATGAAATGGGCAAATTACTAATAGACTGCAACCAACAATAATTGTCACAGAAGTAAATACAAAATGTGAATAACAATTTAATAGTTGAAGGTCATAGAGCAACTCTGAGCTTCTAGAGATATCTGTATTTGTTTTAAAGGCTCTGAATAAACTTGGAATTGGTAAGATATCATTTGGTCAGAACATCTACTCCTGTCAGTTTCTAGATGAAGCTCATGTTCTTAGATGAAATAATTTTCTGTTTCTAATATTGTAATTAAATCTTGAAGCCTATTGTTGTCAGGTTTCAGAGAATCAAGAACCTCTTGGTATTATAATCATAATGTAATAGTTTCAGTTTTCCAGAGAGGGTGAGAAAGTGTTTATAGTTTTCAAAAGATCTTTAAAATTGCTTGTGCATCTTCCACAAAATTTATGAACTTCTACTACTCTAAAACATTACTCACTCAAAAAATGTTTACTGAGTTTCTAATAAATAAAACTAGGTGCTTTATTAGACAAGTCAGACTGTAACCTGGACTCATAGAACTTATACCGTGTGAAGCAAATAGACAATAATAAACTAAATATTATTTAATTAAAAAACAAGAAAGTTACAGAATTTGATAAGCTCTGTAAAAGAAAAATCAGGTAACTAGGAGTGAATTACAATAGACAGAGGGGTCAGAGAAGGTCTCTCAGTTGAAGTGACATCTGAAGGATGAGTAGACGCTTTTCAAGCAGACAACAGCTTGTGTCAAGATCCTGGGATGAGCAAGAACACTGCGTGCTTGAGAAACAGAAAATACCAATATGGCAGGAGAGTATGACTCTAAGTAAAGTAGTATAGAATACATCTGGAAAGAAGAAATGCAGGGGTCAAGTTACATAGCCTTGTAAGTCATTTACATTTTATGTTAAATCCTCTGAGAAGATTTGAAAATTGTAAATGGAGAAACAATATGATTCTATTTGACAGTGTGCTTTTTGTTTGTTTTTTGAGACAGAGTCTCACTCTGTCGCCCAGGCTGGAGTGCAATGACATGCTCACGGCCACCCCAGCATCGACTTGCTGAGCTCAGGTGATCCTTCTGCCTCAGCCTTCCCAGTAGCTGAAACTACAGGTGTGCGCTACCATGCTCGGCTAATTTTTTTTTTTTTTTTAATATATTGTAGAGACGAGGTCTCACCAAGTTGTCCAGGCTGGTCTCGAACCCCTGGGCAATCCACTTGCCTTGGCCTCCCAAAGTGCTGGGATCATAGACTTGAGCCACCATGCCCGACCGATAGTGTACTTTGTTAAAAGTTCACTTTGCCTGCTGTATAGTGAATGGACTGCAGGGGGCCGAGAATATAGACAGATAATTTCCTTTTCTTCCTCCTTTCATTCATTCATTCATTCAACAAATATATCTTAGGAATCAGTTGACATCCTCACTGTCTTCCTTAGAAATTGCCTTGATTTATTAATTTACCTTTTTAAATGTATTCCATTCACAGGTAGAAACATTATTTCAGATCTGATTTGATCAAGCAAGAACATACTCTTTCGAACACTAACCAGTAAAGTCCAAAATGGCATTATTATTTCTAGTATATTTGAAACATTATTGGTTCACTTGTTTTAATTTTCTTATTTTTATTGGTTTACTTTTGGTTTAAGGTCAAGAAAATATCAACCTAAGTTTATATGAACTGTCACTATAGTGTTGGTGCCTATTATTGTCTATCCAAGCAATTGATCTTTTAAATCTTAATTCTGTATCTATCATATTGGCTATATTTATCAGTTATCAATGATCTATATGTTGAATCAGTATATAGATTGTGAATCAGTATATAGATTGTGTCTTCTACCAAATAAAATATGTTTGTAGGCTAGAAATAAGCCAAGTGCAGAAGCTTATGCCCAAGCCTAGAGTTTTTTCTTACATTTCCTAGAGTTTTGTCCTACATTTTCATCTTCTTTTAAATTTAAATATGTATTTTTCTTAACAGAGAAGAAAGAAGAAAAGTTTGCATTAAATGGCATTACATTATCTTTGTCAAGGACTGATATGATATAATTTTCTTCAAGTTCTGTATTATCTCTTTCTTGTTCCTTTCTGCTATGATTTAGCTTGAACACACATATTCACAAGAAGTTAGTGCAGGGCTAGTCCGAGGAAACTACAATTGCCTTGGAGATAATGGATCATCCTGGTTGTTGCCACCCTTAGAAGACAGGGACTACAAAATGTATAGTTTCCCAGAAGCAAGCACAACAGATGACATGTAATGAATTTTTTTATTAACTTACTTTGAATGAGCAATTAATCACACCTTAGAGGAGTCAAGATTTGAACAATGCCAGCCTTGTTCTCTACTATTCCAGTGATGGCTTTGGAAGGGCCTTCTTATCAGCTGATTTGCTGATTCTGAATTCACTGAATCTGCTTTTCTCCTATTTTTTCCCCCATTTCTACACTTTATACCCTTTGCCATCTCCCTTTACTCTCTTCTTTTCTCTCTCCCTTTTGTTCATGGGGAAAAAAAACTGAATTTATGATTTAAACAGACTTGGTTTTGAGTTATTTTTAGCT